GGCTACAGGAGGGGACCCGGCTGCTCACCTCCATACAACCCAGAGCGTAGATCCTCGTCATGAACACCTCGACATGAACACCTGACGCTGGCTGCGAGCCGTATACTGATGTAATTACTATGTTTGGCCTTAATTGCCTTTTTTTTTTTTCCCCCACCTTTATGGGTGTTTCTAGGTCCGGGCAGTGACCTGGCAGCCTCGCGAAGATGCCTCTTCACGACGCGAGAGCTGCGGCTCTCCTCGCTTGGGTAACACCTTCCCTTCCCCCATGGGTGGGACGTGCTGCCCGGTGGCTCCCGGCTGCTGCCGGCTCCGGTGGCTCCTCGGGGCCGGTCAAGGGAGGGATTGTGGCTGCGGCAGGTCCCAGCGCAGCCGAGTCCTGGCTGTTTGTGGGCGGGGGGGTGTTTGCTCACCGTTCCTGTTGAGTAACCAGAAACGCCAGAACAGCTTGGTTCGGCCACGGGAATTACCTGAGAGCCGAGTGGCCGCTGAGGCTGTAAAGGGGCAACCAGATCTGCCTGGCCTTGGCTTCCAGCTTCTGACCCTCTCGCCCCATTTCCAGGTGAACAGCACGAAAGTTTGTACCGATCCCCTCGATGAGCTGTCGCAGCTCCAGGATTGTGGCATCTTCATCAGGATCATCCACAAAATGTGAGTACGGGGAGCTGGGGCACACTCCAAACCGCCCGGCTGGTGGTGAGCCAGCCTGGCACAGCACTTGCCACCCGCCACAACCAAAGACAGGGCTTGTGCCTTGCTCTGTGGCTCCTTCGCAGGGGAAGCCACAGCTCAGGCTGGAGAACAAACCCGCTCGAGGCTGCTGGCACACGGCGTGGCACGGGGTCTGCCTGTGGGGGCCCCGGGAAACTGCCCAGGTAGAATTTTTTAAGGCCGGAGTTTATCATTTGAGATTTGCTGTTGCATCCAGCGCTGACGTCTGGGCTCCCGGCGTTGACGCAAAGAGCCGAGCGCCGATGCTGGCCCTGCGGGGGCTCCTGGAGCCGCACGGGAGATGCTTTTATTTCCATAAATGCTGCTGGGGTGAGGAAACAGCCCAGTGAGACTTCCTGAGCCATGGGCCTGGGAGTCCTGAAGAAGATTTGGGTCTGTAAAGCAGCTTTAAGGCTTGACAGCTCCTGCCCCACGATGCATTCCTGTCCTCTGGGGCCATCAGGCTGCTTCTGAGTATGATACGGGCAGGATGGAGCCTGATTTCTCTGTTCTGGGAACAGGAGGAACAGCCATTAAAACCCGCGAGCTGTGATGGGCATCGGAGCTAGGACTGAGCACGTTCCGCTCTGGCTGAATGCTAACGAGCTGGCAAGGCAAATTGGGAGGGCGTGAGGCTGCCGCTCGGCGCCGAGCGCGCGGCATCGCTTTCAAACCCTTCCGGCGGGAGGCTCTGTGGGAGCCTGCCTGCTATAATTACCTCCCGCGCTGTGTAACGAGAGCCTGCTGGGAGCAGGGATTGGCCTGCGGTGGGTGGGGAGGAAGGAGCCGCCTGCACCGGAGATATATTTAGTCAGACCTGGTTAATCTCCTGGGTCTGTGCTCCAGCTCAGATTAGCCAGGATCACCAGCAGCGTGAGCTCACTAAACAGGCCTGACCGTGGATTGATAAGTGGGGCGGCAGCGGGGTGGACACCCCGGCAGCTGGCTGAGCTGGGGAGGAGCTCCCTGCAGCACCCAGGAACTCCAGGAGGATGAAGAAAATCCTCCTGCCAGCCCCTTCCCCGAGCCGAGTCCCTGCTGTCGGCACCGCGGGAGTAACCAAATTTTCAGCACGCGGTTTGAGCTGGTGGTGGTTGAGGCAGAGCACGGTCTCAAAGAAAAAGCCACAAAATGGCAATTTCAGCCCCCTTGAAAACCCAGCGTGGGCTCCAGGGCAGCGACCCAGAGGGGACTGGGGTCCGTGGGGCCGTTTCCCACAACTGGGGACGCTTTGTGATGGCGAGAAAAACGCCCAGTTCCATGTGCGGTGCCTGCCCAGATGCTGGGGCTGCCGCCGGTTCCCTCTGCTGCACCGGGTCCCGGGGCTGGCAGGCAGAGGAAGCAGCAGCAGGCCGGCACCCACGCCAGGGGAGGGCTGGCTACCAGGCCCTGGGTAAACGTAGCCGTGTTTGCCGGGGCCGCAGGGACTGTCTGCGCCCGCTCCCAGACACGGTGCGGTTGGGTTTGGCTTCACGACCCGGACCGAGGCCGTGTTGCCCAAGAGCCAAAAAAGTTCTGTGGCCAAAAAACCAAACCAACGTTGGTTTAATCCTTCGGTAAAGCCTTAACGCAACCCGTGTGCTCTTCCAGCCACAGGAGCGAGGAGGGGGAGTCCGTGCTGGAGCAGCCGCTGCCGGAGAGGATCAACTTCATCTGCGGCTTCCTGCAGAGTAAGAGCCTCCGCCGGCGCCGGGGGAAGTGGCTCCCCCTGCTCGGTGCCCCCCACCCCTGCGGCCGCGGGCTTCCCGTGACCCCCCCGTGGCACTGGCAGCTCCCAGAGGTGTCGGCAGGGCCACGGGAAGGGAAGTTTTTCCCCATGGGAATGCTTGCCAGAGCCCAGGCACGGTGCAAAGGAGGCCCCAGGGGTGAAGGGGAGAGTGCTGGTGGCTGCTTGGAGGATGGGGTGGCGGGGGGGGGTGGGATCATACTTGGCATCGAGCTGCTCAAATTCTGCTGGAAAAAGTTTACTGGAGCAGGAAGCCCGGAGGGGAAATGGGAAGTTTCTTGCATTTTGCTCAATCTTCCCAGGAAGCAGAGACACCGTATCCCCTCGTATCCCCCCTCCATCGATGGGACTCAGTTTGTGCTGCCGAGAGCGTGGTGGGGGGGGGGGGCTGGACC